CTTGATATTATTCTTACAATTGTAAAAGTTTATTAAAACTCCCAACCAATTGTCAACCCTTATTAGCTTAAAATGTGACCACTTCTTTAGCTTGTTAACTAAAAAAAATGTCATCAAGGAAGATTTTTCCCCATCTTTTTTGGGCGTCTCTTAGTGTTTGATTGAGTAAACATTTCAATAAACACTTTTAAGAAAACAACATTAATTTGTATAAATTAGAACTTACTTGTGCAGATAATAAATGAAAACTTACCTAAATTAATTTATGAAAAAAAAAAAACATATTTCAATTTTTGCTTCCGATTTTACTCGTTTAGAAATACTTATAGAATTCATCCAAACATATTTCAAAGTGGCTTTTGACAATATAAATGTAAATTAAAAAATAAGTTAAGCACAAAAAGAACATAGTAAACATTGCTTGCAACAATTGCCTCACATTGATAATACAATCTTATCCCGCAGACAACGTTATATCTAAAAGCCAAATTCTATTACTCCACAATAATGTAATCAGTAAATTATAATTCAATTTGCATATGTTTGGATTAACTTAATTAAAAATTAATCATCAGTTCTTCAACTATTTTCTAAAATTATTTTAAAAATTAGAAATCTGTCATCAGGATGAGTGCAAGAAAATATAAGATGGCCAAGCTGATGAAGAAAAGTAGGATGAAAATAATAGTAAAATAATAGTGGAAACAGACTCAAAGAAAGCTTAAGCACAAAGGGTTTATATACACAAACCTCCGGAAGAAAAAAAAAACTTCACATCCTCCAAAACGCTATGCAGTTCTCCAAACTAGAAATCTTCGATTTTTACACTTGACTAGAAAAATGGGGAGAACAAATATGGAACATGGAAAACTTTTATATATAATATCAACCTCAAATAATAGTAAGACCAAAAACTCAGTCATCACTTTCAACCCGCCACTTACTACAACGACCTACTTAGAATTTTCTCTTTGAAAGCCCACAATGCATGCAGAGTTAGAATAGTCACAGCATCCAACCCTGCTTCATTTGTGCGGAGAACTAATGCACCAAATGCAATGATTTCTATGTCAAGGTTCTTCTTCCGCAAGCTGCACATTGTATCCATGCTTTATATCTGGAGAAAACCAAACCTCTGATAATTACACACCATTTGCAAAAAAATGCCACATACATGGATATATACATATTTTTACTGCCCCCTCCCCAATCAATATGCATTGCAGAGAGAAATTCCATTCAGTAATTAAAACTTATGTGATTTAATATTGCGGGCATGTTATCTTTATACAACTATTCTTCTTTTCTTTCTATATATAGGGCACAAGTACAACCTATTCAATCAAATTTACTCTTTTGCATGAGTGTAAATTCTGACATTATAAAAAGGGCAATCAGCCGAATTATTCAATGGTTTTATCATACTAGAAGCAAGGCAAGTACAGGAAATCTGGCTAATAGCACAAGCTTTCAGTATGGTTAAGAACGGAGGCTAGACGATGTTACAAACAAATGAAAGCTGTGAGTTTGCATCAATTTGACCACTATCATAATGAAAACCGAAAATCCAAAGTCACGTCACGTAGGAACTATCATAATTATCCAGTTTGCATCAATCAGGTAGGAACTATTATTTTCAAGATGTCTAAACTAAAGCGAGAGATTCAGGTTATGGTATGCATGAACCCAAAATATAACTCTCCACCACAACCTAAACTAAACCAAACAGACAGTAGGTGTCCTTTAGGGTGAGAGAATGCCATTCAAAAGAATTTACATATCTATATTTCAAGTTGATAGGTCCTATTCTTTCTTACTTTTATTTTAAAATGCACACTCAAATATAAAATAACAAGACCAAAGTGGGATCACATAATAATGGAAATTAAAGATAAAACATAGAAATAGGAAAGTTGTAGTGAAAATACCTTTCATTGAAGGCTTGTCATAATCTTTCCTATCATCATCATTATTCCAATCACCGTCGTCATCATCACCCATATCATCCCTTCCATCATTTCCTATATCACTTTCACTAGCTGTCTCCCATTCAGAATCATCTGTCTCTGGACCATACATATCACCACCATCACCCTGACTATGGACCCCACCATGCTTAACAGCTGCCTCTCGGAATAACCACGCAGCACGCATCTGCTTCTTAACTAAACGCTCTGCATAATCTGGAACTTTATTTTGCCTCAATGAAAGATCAGGATCGTTTGACTGAGAGCACTCGTTTATAAATAAAATAGCATCTAACAAACTCTCTTTCGCTAATCCAAGCATATCATTAGCTTGTGCTCGTCTCCAAAGGCTTTTGGCATGACGATTGACAGGTTTATGAAGACATAGTGCTCGGGTAGCATCACTGATGGCAGCCAAAGGTTGTTGCAGCAAAAGATGGCATTGAGCACGATTACTATATAGAACAACTCTCTCCTTCCTAGATCTCATAGGACACAATGCCAAAGCTTCAGAATATTTTGAAGCAGCTCCAGAAATATTTCCAGATGAGAACAAGGAATTTCCTTCAAGTTTGACAACCAGAGCAGCGGCCTGCTTAATATGTAGATCTTCCTTGGGCATATTCTTTTCCCACTTCAATCTCTGCTTTGAATTTAATACATCCTCAATCTGTTCTTTAGTACGATTACTAATGGAGCTTCGACCTGACCCTTGAGACTGGATGCACTCTTGAAGAACACTAACAATTGAATCACCGAGCTTTTTGTGATCACCCAGAGTTGTAATCTCCGCAAGATCAACTAATACAGGCACGACTTTATCAATCACCTACACAATATATGCCAATGCCTTATCAAAAACAGAAACCAATTTACAATATTCAAGTGATAGAAACTTATAATCATAATCTCTAGCAATTGGAGCTTGAATGAATAAATGAAAACATCATTGTTAGTATACATCCAGTTTATACTTTACATATTCATTGGTGTATTGGCAAGGACCAGCCACCTTCCTTTTGGGACACTAATGAAAGGAAGTATTAACTAGTTTTAAGTCGCCTGTCTATAGATGGTCAAATGAAACTGTCATAGAAACCAAAAAACTAAAATAAAACCATTCTTTATTTCCTTCTCATCAGATTAACATTCTTGTATTCAGAATCATCTCATCCAGAAAATTTTCCTCGTCAGACCTCCACTTTCAATGAAATTTGCAAGTGAAATTAGAGAAATTGAAAAAGCCTTTTTAACCAAGGAAGAATACAAATAAGAGGAATGTAACGTGATAGATCTGAAAGGTAAAAGAGGCCTTTACTTTCATTTCCATTTTTCTTTAATTGAAAAAGTTAGTTCAAGGCATAAGAATCAAATTTCACTGACATGCAAATCAACGCATTCTTTGAGACAATCACTAGTATTCCTTAGTGTTCATGAGTGCAAACAAGCTCAACATATATGAAAAACCAAACCAGATGCCAAGCCGGAGTTGAGAAAATTTCACCTTGTGACATGTATTGGGATCTTGAAGCAACCATAGAAGACAATCAATAGCCATATACTGCCAGTCATCTGAAGAGCGAGCAATATTACACAATGCGTCAATAATACCAGGGCAACTGGCAACAGGCCCTCTACCAAGCTTTTGATGACAAATTGTTCTTAAAAAGCCAATACCAGCTGGTGAATTCTCATTCACAAGTCCACCCCACATGCCAGGTAATTTTATCAGAAATTCTGGTTTGCATATGGTGGGAAGAAATTCATGTTTAAAAGCAAAGCAATTAATTAGCTGAAGGGACCAACACTGCAACTGACTAGCCCATTCCTCAGCCTTCCTGGACTCCATTTCAACACCACCCATACCACGCGTAAGCAGATCACAATGATAACTAAGCCTTCTATCGACATATTGGTAGAAGTGTGAATAAACTATTTCCAGGGAACTCATTGCCAATTGAATGGAGAGCTCAAGAATTTCACCATTGCTTGCTATGGCAGGAAAAGTGCTGGCATATGTAGCCAAGTGTCCCAATGCTCTAACTGCCACCCTCTGCTCAACCCAAGTTAATCTGCCTCTTAAAAGCTCAACCAAGGGAGGAATGACCCCTGCATGCACAGCACTTTCTGCAAATTCCTCCATATTCATAGTGTAGGAACCAATTATATGAGCTGCATAATAAGGAATATATATATTTTGATCATGAGAAAGCCAGCGCCGGTTCTTCAGTCCCTTCCATATGAGAGCAGCCATGCATTCAAAAATACCTAGCTCTATGAATTCCGGGTCATTTGGATGAGCCATAGCCGTGTTCCAAAGGCCACTGATAGGGAGAACCTGCCCATCATCATCTTGAATTGGAAGCTCTCTAAAGAATTTCAGTACACTAGCTCGGCGCTTGCTCGGATTCCCTTCCTTCATGACACAAAAAAAGCATCCGGGGTATGGACAGTCCGATGAAACTTTATCCATGCTCGACAAATTGGAATAACAACCTCGAACATCAACAAATCAATTCCTCATCAGGTGGCTGAAGCAAGAAAACCACTTCCAAACTGCACACAAGTAACAAAATCAAATCAGTAATCAGCGCAACCCTTGACACATACCAACCAAAAGACCAATTCTTCTACAGTTCCCTAAACAACATTAGATTCTCAGAAAGAAAAAGTATACAAGAAAAAAAGATGCAACCTATCGATTAATTTTTACAAACATTTCCCCATATCCAAACTGATAAAAATGCCCAACTCGTTGCAGAACAAAACCTACACAAAATAGTCCAAGTCAAAAATTGATTTTTAGCGCTTATTCTCCACCAGCCTTGAAAGAGACAAAGACGCCCACACACATCACCAAACATTTAAATTAATAGCAAAAACTCAGACTTTCAGCATTTATTTTTCCCCTTTCAATCTGAAATAGTAAGGGTAAAGAAACAGTGATTTCTGAACAAGAAAAAAAAAACCATAAATATTCTCACTTAAAAAGTCAAACCCAGAGTGAATCACGGGAAGAGACAGGGCAAGAAGAGGATCATACTACCTAGCTAGTACCTACGAACTACTCACAGCATCAACATTCCCACACAAGTCAACCAAATTTCCACCAAATAAAAACAATTCCATTTTGTCTTTGGCGTGTTGCAGAATCGATTACGCACTACGCAGTAGCGAAGACCGATTTTCCTGTGGCACAATCGATTCCACCACGCCAAAAAAAACAAGGTAGGTGATAAAATTACCCTCCGCTGCGTAACGGTCTTCTCACAGTAACAGGGAAAAAAAAAAGCAGAACACGGACGCTGTGAAAGAACAAGAGAGTTACGAGCAGTAAACGGTGAGGAGAAAGTGCGTGGTCGTTTCAGCAAAGCTTCGTTTACAGCGAAGATCGGCTATGTTTGTAAACGACAGATCCAAATTTGTCGTGGTGGTTTACAACCTGAGACCGTTTCATGTCGGAATTCACGTGCTCCTTAGATGCTTTGTGAACTTTTCGCTCTCTCTCTCTCTTTCTATCACGCTTTTCTCACAGCACCGTCATCTTTTGATCTAGGTTAAATTCCAGTGAAAGAAAGAGAAAGGAGAAAAAGAGAGTGAGGAACGGAGAAGGAAGACAACGGAATAATGCTGAGCCTCCACTACACTGTACTATACAAGTATAAATTTTAAATGATTGGTTTTATTTTAAATAATGATTTAATTCAATATTTTTTACCCATTTCACTAAAAAAAGGAGAGAAATAAATTTTCTTTCAAAATATATATATTTTTAAAAATGGATGAAGAAATTAATATAATCAGGGTAATTACATAATATTTTCTTTCATAATTGTTTGTACGTATTACGACAACAATATAGTGCTCACTTACGTCGCTGTCGTCATGCCAAGAAAATATTGCTTGAATAGAAACATATATTTTTATAATCTCTTAACCTTTAATGCTAGATGATAAAAAAAAAAACGTGCGCAGTTACCGTTGCATAATTTCCGTCGCAAATTCTCGATTTTAATTATTTTCTTCTTTTGGTATTAATTTTAATTTCTTAACTTGAATTTGTATGAGTTTTGAATTGGTATTTTTATTGAAAATTATTTATTTATTCTTTATATTTGAATGGGCTGTGTTTGGGCATGACCCCATTAATGGGGCCAATTGCGCACTAGCGTGTAATGTTGAAGTGCATGGGCCAATCAGATACAAACCCATGCATAGGAACAGTGAGAGATAAATGAAAAAGTGAAGAGCTGAATGACCTAATACACAATTCTTTTTAAGAAAATAATATTATTAATTTAATAGTGAGTGAATTACATTTCCTTTTCCTAGTAGGTGCAATTATTAGACTGTTGGCCTCTTTTATTTTAAATTATCTTTTGAAGACAAAAATGATTATTTGAGCAATCAAACTTTATATATATATATATATATATATATATATATATATATATATATAATAATCAAATTTTTTTCAAAATTTTATTTGCGTGATATGCAAATTTCTACGGTGTAACATATTTTTTCTGATTATAGAATCGCAGTACCACAAGAAATTGGAGTAATAGAACTAGTAAGTATACTTGAGATTATTTAATGGTTATGTTTTAAAATTATCCAAAACTTTAAAATTATATCCTAACATAATAATAATTTTTTATAATTTTTTGAGTTTCAGTTGTCTTCAGTTTTATTCATCTATACACTATCCTTTAATAAATTTCTTTAATCTAATTGTTTAATTAGACAATTTTCTTTTATAATAAATGAAGAAAATGTTTACTTGATAAAATATGTGATTGAGTAGTTTTTCATTTTCAAATAATTAAGTAAAGTATTTTTTAATATTATTTCTGCAAAATATTATGCATATTTATAAGTGTATTATTTTAATATATTTTAATTAGTTACTCAACAGATAATAAAGTTACAAAAATATTGTTGGAAGTTCTATATCAATAACAAATCATAGTATAAGGAGCAAACCTTACTTTACAAACTGATTATATAGGGTTCAGTTAGGCTTAAAGTTCACTTCTTCCATCCGCTAGAAGTCTCACATCGACTAGATATAAGGTTAATTCATAGTATATAAATGGATGCAAACTTCATTTTACAAGCTGGTTTTGTGGGGGTTGAGTTAGACTTAAAATACACTTATTAACAAATATATATATATATATATATACATTTAACATTTTATTATTTTAAATAGGTTAAATAAATCATTTTTTAGATTCATATTTTTGGTTCCTCGGTACAATTAGACTTCTATGGTTAAATTGGTTTAATTGTGTTAGAAGTTGAGAAAATTGAGAAAAAATGATTCAAAACAAAGTCATTGTGGTTCATCTTCTTCTACAATTATGCAATCTCAATTATCTCTTCAATCTCCAATGAAGGTCAAAGTCTCTTCATATCTAGACCTTCCTTTTAATCTCCACAACGTTCTTCGACTTCCCCTCTTTCGCTACCTTCCTTCAACCACCACCCTGGATGTAGTGGACATTAAGGGTAATTTTGTTCTATATCCCTACAAGAAACGAAATATGTCTTTAATTGTTATCCAAAATTCAAATTCTTCTACTTAGAGCACACTAGTAAAATTTAGACCTGACCCGCCAGGTTCCCTTATGTTTGCAAACAAGAAAACAATGGGTATCAGTATGTATACAAGGTCTCACTTTGTAGACCTAAACCAGGAAGTCAAATATTTTTCTCTCCATTTTCCTTAAAACAAATACGACGACACAAGAATTCAGCAATACGATGTCATGACTCATGCTTAATGCAACAACACAAAGACATTCACCAACATATTCTAATGAAGTAGAGAGACGAGTTCGAAAAATAAAAAGAGGATGCAACTAAACATTGTTAGTTTTGAATCACATAACATCACATGCAATGAGGTATCAAATGGGGATTTTGGATTTTAGGATTTTACACAAAATTGAAAATTTCTAATTATTCAGTCATATTTGAAACCCACGATACTTATGAAAAAATTCAACGAACCAATGAATATGTGTCTTTCAGAAACATAAAAAGAAAAATTGAAAAAACTAAATTTTACAGAACTTATGTATACACCAACAAAGATAAAAAAAGAAGAAGCAACAAATTATAATTTCAAAATAAAAATTTTCTTGATTTTTTTTAAATGTGAAATTTCATGTCATTCTACTGTATCGTTTAAAAAAAAATCACGTTAATATGTCACGTTATTTAGCCAATTTAAAAATAAAAATAAATAAATAACTCATTTGAACAGGAAAAAAAATAAAGACATTCAAAATTATTTAACCTTTTAAATAATATCCCTAATATAACTACTTTTTTTTATTTATATATACGTGTTACCGTGATTTTTCATTAAACCACATTTTTACAATTTTACATTTATCTTCTTCCTCTAATTATTGAGGAACAAACTGTTATGCTGAGGGAAGCATAAGTCATGTCGTGTGCTTTGTTTTTTTTAATTTTTTGGTTCGGAGGTAACTGCAGACCTATACCCCTATATATATATCCTATGCTTAGGAGACATCTCTGTCTGCGGCCATACGGAACTAATCCGTGGTTGGTTGTGTTTTTTCTTTCTTTTTAATTTATATGAAAACATTATTTTTAAAGTTTTTTTTCAGTTCTATGGTAATTTTGAAAATTTGAAAATGTCATTAAATTTTTTTATTAATAAATGTTAATTATTAGTATTTGGATAGTAAAAGAGTTAAATTCACAATTTTTCTCATCTTTCTTTCTAAACTCATAAATAGAGCTGTCAAAACGGGTAACCCGGCCCGACCCAACCCGACCCACCACGGGTTGGTCACTTAGTGAGCCAACCCAACCCGGCTCATTTATTAGCGAGCCGAAAAAATTCGAACTCGACTCGACCCACCACGGGTTGGTGGGTTAAACGGGTTGGCTCATTGGCTCACTTAATTAAGTTCTTTTTCATTCTCTTCTTCCGAGATTCTTAGATCTGATCCATCAAATTGAAACAGTAATAATATGATCAATTAATATAAAAGAAAATGAAACATCTATTATAAATCCATAGGATTATGCTCTCTTGAAATTTAATTTTAATAAAAAAAATAGAATTTAAATAATTAATTTAATTAATTTGATTTAATTAAAAAAAGTAGGTGGGTTGGTGAGCCAACCCGACCCACCACGGGTTCAACCCATGTGAGCCGGGTTCTTAGTGAGCCGGGTCAAAATTGGCTCGCATAAAAAATTTGACATTTTTTTCCAACCCAACCCGGCTCAAACCCGTGGTGAGCCGGGTTGACTCACGGGTTTCAACCCATTTTGACGGCTCTACTCATAAAACTCATCTTATATATTTTAAATGTTAGTGGAAAAGTTGAATTTATAATTTTTTTCTCTGTCTCTCACTTAACCACTTTAGGATTTGGTTAATTAAATATAATTTTCTTAACCACATAATTACGAAAAAGATATAAGATAAATTGTTGTAAAAGCTGACAAAAGTAGAATAAAGATCACGAACAAAAATACTTCCTGAGGCGTGTAGATCACTGCCCTTAAGGACTTATCCGCGGTGTATTGCGCAAGCCCCCCAGGATACAACAGGAACTTCTCAGAATTTCTGAGGATCTCAGAACTAGCAAGGAACTCTAAATAGAGTATAAGAACAACCCAGAATAATTTTTAGGAGAGAAAAAGAGTTAGAGAATGAAACTCAGAAAAGAGGAGAATAAGAAAGAATGAAAAATTGTGTGTATTGGAATGGAGGAGGAGCTCCCTATTTATAGAGTTCATGGATCAAGCCCATGATCCCAAAAGTCCAAAATATCTTTTAGAAAAATAATATTTTAATTAATTTAAACGTTGCAAAACGTTGGAGACCATTTCTTGCGGAAAACGTTGGCAGCACGTTGCATAACAAACAGCACGTTGCATAACAAAATAAATATAACGTTGGCAACTGCACGAAACTTGCGCAACGTTATATTTATCTTTTGCAATAAATAATAACA